ATATTTTATATAAATTGTCACTCTTGTGTTTAAAATGCTTGATCTTAATTTTCTGTTTTGTTTATTAATTTACGATTAGTTTTTATTACTCTATATAATTAATATAAGCCTAAAATATTTATGAAAATATTAAATTATAATAAGACAGTGATTTTTCACAACAGTTACTTTCCACTTTTATTCAAGCAAATTCATTGAGAATCCCATTGAACATAATATATCATGAGAATTAAAATGGCTAAAACTCTAAAAAATTCGTTACGGGTTAAAACTATGCCGCAATCACTTATTATCCTAAATAATAATAATACTTGTAATAAAATTAAATAATGTATTAAAACAAGGTATTTTAGTTAAAGTAATCTGTTTAAAACTTTGAAAAAAAGAAATAAAGAGCTGAGAACTTTCTATTTTAAAATAATTCGAGTACGCTCCAAAGTTAGGACCCCCTAGTATTAATTTTACTTTTTGCGTATTTCGTTACATCACGAGAACTTTTTAAAAGAATTGAAAAATTTTAAATTAATCTATTCCAAGATAATTCCATGCAAAAAATAAACTTTATTAAATATTTATTATTTTTTATTATTTTATTTAGTTAGTAATAGTCGAAAAATTTTGAATTGTAAGGTATACAGTTTTCTGCATCATTTTAAAGAATATAATTTTACATGACAAAATTCAAAATTTGAGCGAAATCAGTCGAATAGTTCCGGAGAAATCGAATTTTAAAAAAGTCGTCTATTTGAAATTCGATTTATAAACATTAAGGGGTCCAAACTATTGAAACCATATTTCCCAGATTGCGGCTACCCCCATATATTGGGGGTCAGATATCCGCATCTGTCAAAAAAAAAGATATATTTATCCAGAGAAAGTACGTTTTCGTGTCTGATTTTCTGACTTAAATTATCGTATGTGCTTATTGATTAGCATATTTGAAGTCCCCTCCTCGAAGCATTAGAATGGAATCCCCTTACAGGAAGATACGATCATTAGATCAAAAGTTATTCAGGATGGTCCGTTTATTTTTTTTTATTTTTTGCACACTGTACAATAGGCTACAATCACCTTAAGATGTGTTACTTTTTTTAGATGCATTTACTTAGACATCACATTTTTGTTGTGCGTTCTGAATGGTTGTTTTATTTGTTTAATGTTAGCCTTTTATAATGCATTGCATAAATTCTAAAACTTAATTACTATAATGTTTTACTACAAGTGTTTTAAATTTCACGTAAATACATTGAATTGTGAAGTTGGATAAATAGTTATTTCAATTCTACAGTTTCGATGCACTAAAGCAAGTGGCTCACAGCTGATGCGCCGTGAACTACGATGTGTTCGGTTTTATTATTATTTTATTTTTAATTTTTTAGAAAGCATGCAGGTTCGAGAACATTTTCCTGAAACTATAAGTTATTTGAGAACATTCTTATGCAACATTCTTATGCAAGTGTAAAATACAAAATGCATATATTTGTGAAGCATGGAACAGTTACTTCTCTAACATTTAAAGTCGTTTTCTCTAAAATGTATTTGGATTTGACGAAAGAACTATCATCTTGTATACAAGTAGGATAAGATATGAGGATAGTAATTTACGTCGGGTACAAAATAATCTCTGCGTCTACTTTTTCTTCTGAAAACAGGTTTTTTTTTTCAGTTTGAAATTTCCCCTAAAATTATCGTGCTTTTTTATATTCTATTAAAAATTTTTGTTAAAAAAAATTCTTTTCTTTCACACAATTTATGAAAAAATAGCATGTATGTTAAAAATAATAAAAATCGAAGTATTCTAAAATAGTAATAATTAATAAAACTAAATTTAAGGCCCCGTTTAAGGAGTTCAAACTAATGAAATTTACATAAAAAGTTTTTCTACCGGAAAAAAAAATTTAGAGCGACAGTTGTTTTTTTTTTAGAAGAAAAATTTTGTAGCAATTTTTTCTAATTAGACTAAAAATATCCCCAGGTTTGTCTGAATTTCCCCAGAACATCGTTCGCGAGATCGGAAATATTCCTTTTAGAAAGTAAAGTTTATATTTTGTTAAAATATTTCGATATTTTTCTCTTTAACATAGGATTTGATTTCATACAATTTCTTTAACAATAAATTTGATTTCCCGCAATTTATGCAAAAATAACATATCTGTTAAAAAATAATAAAAATCAAAATGTACTAAAGTAATAATTTATAAAATTAAATTTAAGGTCTCGTTTAAGGAATTCAAACTAATGAAAAATTGACGTATAAGGTTTTTTTTACACGAAAAAATTTTGTTGTAATTTTTTCGAATTAGACTAAAAATTTCTCCAGGTCTGTCTGAATTTCACCCGAACCTCATTTGCGCAATCGAAAATATTCCGTACCCCTGGTATTCGTCATCATGCTTATTTAATATCTTGAAAAAGTCTATCTTTTTTTTTTTTAATATTATTTTTCTCCAAAATTTCGTAGATTAATTATCGTGGAAGTTATTTTTGATATACTAAGCAATATAAATAAAAAGCATGTTAATGATTAAAATTAGCGAGTGTGTAGTGTAGCTGTAAAAAGGTTGAGTACCATATAGACATGATTAAAAAATTACGACAATGGAAACAAAATTGAAATTTGCGATTTTCATTTACTTATGTATAGTACATAAATGCTTATATTAATAGAATGGGGAAATACTCATAAATATTACAAAAAATATGGGCTGCGTCATACTATTAGTAGTGTTCTAGGATTTAGATCGGTTTTATTCAAATTGAACAACATAATTTCTAAATTAATCTCAATTTTTTTCAATTCTTTCTGAACTATTTTTTCGCTTTCCAATTTTATTAACATTCTTAACAAGACAGTCATTGACTTAATTCACTTTTCACCTGACAGAAAAATGATGTTTTAGTCTGGGGGGTTGTTACTGCACGTGTTCAGTTAAGAAAAGAAAAGTTGAAAAAGAATGTTTAGAAAAAGAAGAAGAAGAAAAAAAAAAGAATTATCAGTCTTTCTCAAATAGCTTTCGTCGTAATACGTATTACTTTTTTATTTACTTTACTTTTTATTGTTGGCGTAGGTTAATTATTGTTCCTCTCGTTTAAATACTGCAAATTCTTAGCATATTCTGGCAGCTCGGTTCGTGGCACATTTCACGTCTAAGGGAAGTAATTGACCACGAATTTATATTTAACATCGTGCATCGAACTTTTTTTTTCTCTTCCTTTTCTCTCTAATGTACAATTGATTGCACAAGACTTCTTTTTTTTCCCCCAGATAAACAGGTGTTCTATTAAGAATGTGTTTCAATCATTCATTCGTTCGATCGTCGCGAAGTACTGACCTTTTCTTTCTTTATTTTACGTTCAGAATCGGATCGGCATTCTTACGAGATTTTAAACTAGTTCAATTGTGTTAACTTTTCACTCTTAATTTAACAAAAACTTTTTAATTGATTATTTTTATAGACATTTAACAAAATGATCTGGTAAAATGCGTATTGAAAAGCTTCTTTCATTTGCAATCTTTTAATTTCTTTTTTATAAATTATTATTATTAAATTTTACGCAACTGAAATGTTGATAGCAACATTCTATGATTATTAGAATCTTTGTTTGGATGATACTGTTGTTTTACCAGTCTTTTAAGGTTTCTATAGATAATACGTAAATCAGCAAAAATCGGAATTGTATTTTTTTTAAATTGTGCTTATCCGATTTCGAAGTATTAAAAACGACTATTTTTTTTTCGAATTAAATTCTAAATACTGCAATTGTAGTCTAGCACAATGCAAGCCACCAATTTCTAGAATACTATTTAAGAAGAAATTATGTGTCGAAAAAGTAACAAAATTAACATGTGCTTTTAAGTAAAAATCCCCAATAATGAATTAATCGTGTGACCTGTCGTCGGCACTCAGTCAGAAATTCGAATTTCATTTTATTTTATAACAATCGTTGTACAGTCAACCAAATTTTTTGGATTCACGACAGCTAATGTTCAACTCTGTAGCCTTGTAAGTTTGAATCCAATCCAAAAGACAAGGAAGCTTCTGGATCAAATATTGGGAGAAATTTGCCTTTGTGGAGGACTTTCCTAATGGAACTAACCCTCATTTTCGCTACACGGAGAGGTAAACCTCCCTCGGTTAGCCTAACTGCAAGGGGACTCTAACCCATGATCCGTCTACCATTAATGATATTTTACGTCAGCACTGTGATCGTTGCGAGCTGGGTGCGGAACTATCGACCATCCATCCTGGGATTTGAACCCGGTTCACCTCACTGGAAGGCGAGCGCTCTATCCCCCAACGTTATAAAAATCCACACACGCTTTTGGTTATTTAACGTGAATAATAATTCCGTTTTTAAAAAAATAGTTTTAAAATTACATTGTATTATGCATTACTGCATTTTCTTTACGATAGTCATATTTGTCTTTCATTTTTTAAATAAAAATTTGCTTTGTATTTTTATTAATTTTTACATTTATTCGAAATGTTTTCTTTAGATTAACACCGTTACATCAGCTTCCTTTTAGCTTAGCTTGATTGCATTATTTGGAATACTAAGCTGCAAACTTTATTAGCAAAATTAAATAAATTACTCTGAAAAAAACATTTTATAATAAAAATGACAACATCAAAAATTTTATTCTTGAACAACGAGCTCGTTGTTTGAGAGTAAAATACTTAACGTGTTTAAATATTTCAATCACTTTTTGGAGTTCTTACCTTAAACTCTCGAAAAAAAAAATTACTTGTTTTGGATTTATTTATTTGTTTTTCAAAATAATTTCTAATTCACAACGAGTAATGACTGCGTAGCAATAATAGGGACTGGAGTGCAAAACGAGCAGTCTCCCGTACTAAACGTCAACTGAAAAGCAATGACTTTATTAGAACTTTATTATAAAGTGACTTAATTAAATTAACTCCTTATTTTTTTCTGCTGCTTTGAAAAATGAAAATTTGATCCACGGAAATTAATTTTTGTTTCTTTATATTTGACAGGTTCCTGACCATGCGCCAGCGCATTTGGGCGCTGCTGCTGCTTTTGATTGTCGCAGGAGTCCACATGAAGCTGGCTTCAGCAACCAAACACAGAAAAAACCACAAAACAGCTCACAACAAAGAACTTGTAGACGCATTTGAAAAACGATTGCTCGCTATGTTCGAACTTCAATCTAGGCCGAAGGCCAGTGGAAATCGAAGCATATCGGATTATATGTGGGAACTGTACAAAAAACAAAACAAAATGCATAGTGGAAGAAAAGCAAATACAATAAGGTGCTTCAGAGGTCAGGGTAAGTCTTGCTGAATTTCTGCTTGTAGTTGCTAATTAGCATTGTTTTTATACTGATAGTTCCTATAGTAATATTGATATTTGGCATAATAATAATATTATTATGCGAAATATCATGACCATACCGACCACCAATAGGTGGTCGGTATGGTCATGGTGATAGCTGATATAATAGTCTTGCTATACTGTTAATTCCTATAGAAATTTTGATCTCCCGTGAAATAATACTGAAAGATGTAAGTTGTGCTAGGTAATTGGTGTAGTAATGTTCATAGTTCTTAAAGTAATGTTGATTGTTGATATAATAATACTGATATTCTGGTATAGCATGCTAATATAGTCGTGATGATTACTGGTAAAGAAATACTTGGTGTCATAAAATGAAGAGCAAAAGATCACGTGCTTTTAATGAATTCATTTCATTAGTTTTCTCTGGAATACACAAGGAAAAGTTCAAATATTAAAAAAATAAGTTTTTGTTACGTGTGAAAATTAACAAAATGTGCCTCTGAAAATTTAGATTTTTTTTTTATTGCGATGCAGAAATATACATTTGAATCATACTTAACTACTTTTTTCTTCAAATTTATGTCATTAAATAATGCAAGCTACCTATTTGTATTACGCTTGGTACATATTACCACCATATTTTAAGGAAATGTCTGCCTTTTTTTTTTTTTTTTTTCAAATATGAAAATACAAATGAGAAAAATATCTTACATTAAGTCCATGCCATTTTTTTTCATACCAAGTTTTTATGCATGCAAGATATGACAAATTAAAGAATGTGAAAAGACCTATATGCGCTACTGGAAAATAGGATCCACGCAGTTTTCTGATATTTTAAAAGTAAATCAATTCATTCTCCTTAATATTGTAATAAAAGTTTTTTCTTCTTCTTTCTATTCTAAGAGGGTAATTCTCCAAAGAGAGCTTGCTTTCTTTAGCTAAATATGATCTTGAAGATAGAAAGTGCTGAAAGATAGATTTTTCTCTTAGAAAGTTTTTACAAAAATAATAAGCATGGCTCCTTACAGATATTTCATTCAGTTACCTCGTCATCTGAGTTAGATATAACATTACAAGGTCAAAGATTAGTTCTAATACAGTGATGCAATTCTTTTATTGAACGTTCAGTAATAGTTATAAATAACAAAAAAAATTTTTTTCATAAGTACTTTATACTTGAAGGTACTTATGAAACTGACATTTTGATCATTGGTGAAATAATAAAAACGAATAAAAATAACTGCTACTGGAAAATGGGATCCACTCAGTTTTCTGATATTTTAAATGTAAATTAAAACACTGTGCTTAACGTAATGAAAACTTTCTTTCTTTGTAAATGTCCCATTGCTTTATTGATCTAAACATGATCTTAACTTCAGTGTTGAAAGATTGATTTTCTCTTAAAAAGTTTTAACAAAATACTAAGTATGACGCTACACAAATAGTTGATTCAGTTTCCTTATCATTTAAGTTGGACTTAATTTTTTTTTTAATTCAAGAACAAAATGATTACTCGTGCACCACTGAAAAAGTACAGCACGAGGCTTACAGACGTAAGTATGGTAGCAAACAACATTACAAGGTTAAAAATTAATTCTAATTCAGTGATTCAATTCTTTTATTAAACGCTCAATAATTCTTATAAATAACTAAACATTTTTTTTATTACTTGAAAGTACTTTGTACAGAATAAATGGCAACTATCGTTTTGATCATTGGTGAAGTAATAATAATGAGCTAAAAAAAACTTTTTTGTTAAAAAAAAATAAATCAAAATATATAATTTTGAAAAAAAGTGTAAGATAGGAGCTCAAAAAAAAGAAAGAGCGGGGAGTTGGTTAAAAAAGTGTATTGGGAACAACACCTGGGGAACCCACTTTTTTGTTCTCTCTCTTTCGTATTGCGATTAAATGGAACAGGGTCAAGCCCCGGGGAAGGCGCAAATACTCGCAGGCAGAGAGAGGTCAGGGTAGTTACTGTCCACTCTTCAAAAAAAGAGTGAAAAAAAAATCTTCCTCTTTTTCATCCGCTTTTCCACTTCCTTCAGCACAATTCATCGCCCACTCCTCACAACTAAAAATTATCTTATTTATATATATGTTTCTCAACACAGTGAAACCACTTCAAAAAGCTTCCCATACACCCTCCCTCTCCCAAAACGCACTTCGACATTTCAACAAGCTCTTCACAATAAACTTTACGTACTGGTCATTTTTTTTTCTCCTTCAGTAACTTCAGAAGCAATTAAACAGCTTATTATAAGAAAGTATTCTGCAATGTTTACTAAGTTGATAGGAGTGAAAAGAAAAGTAGTTGAACCGATTAGAGGGCTGATTAAGTGGTTTGTTTTTAGAAAGTTTGGTGATTAGAAAAATATTAGATATTTTTACGCTTTAAGTGCTTCCCCCCTTTTTTTTTCTCATGCCAAGTGACAAGCATCATTTTAAAGAGAACTTTAGATTCTCATTTTTAAGAGCAGATTATGATTTAAAATACTCTAGTTACAAATTTTCCATTGTCTATATTGTAAATACACTGCATACAAGACAATTAAATAACAAACCACTGTTTAATTTTCATTAATCAATTATGTGAAGGAATCAAAAACGTCTTCTAATTCCTTACTTAAGTGTTTACGTAAATTCGTTTTCCAATTATTTTTCTTTCTTCGTAAAATACATTTAGATATTTATTAAATATAATACCCATAATGCCAAGTAGTTCTAGGCATAATAGCTATCTATCTGTAAAGCATTCAAAAATTGTATAGTAATTGATCTTACTGCGGACTATCAAAAACTCTAAAAATCTGATCAACTTTTTACAGGATTATGTACGCGGAAAGAAGTTAAAGTCATTCGTATAAGTGTTACTGATTTTAGTAAGGTATTGAGTTATTTAGCCATCTAAATATTCAAGGCAATTTTACGCTTTTGAGCCGCGATGGCTGAAGGGATAGAGCATTCGTCTTCCAATGAGATCAACCGGGTCCAAATCCCAGCGATGGCTGGTCGATACGAAATCCGGATCCGGCTTGTACCGACCATAGAGCTGACGTGAACTATCCTCAGTGGTAGACGGATCATGGGTTAGAGTTCCCTTGCCGTCTGGCTAACCGCGAGGTGTTCTCGTGATCTTCCTCTCCGTGTAACGTAAATGCTGGTTAGTTTAATCAGAAAGTCCTCTTCGAAAGCAAATTTCTCCCCATACTTGATCCAGTTGTTCCCTTGTCTTCTGGGATTGGGTTCAAAATTACAGGGCTACGTAGTTGAACATTACTAGTCGTAAACCAAAAAATTGGGTCGGTTATAAAATAAAAAAGGGGCCGTTCAAAAAGTACGTACATCCCGAAGGGGGGGGGAGGGGATTCGCTATTTTGTACGGTTTTGTACGATGGGGAGGGGGGGTGGAATTATACAAAGTACGTACACTATAAGCATACACCAAATTTAAATTTGACTTTTTCCTACACACTCCTTAAATAAATATTTAATTTTATTTAAAACAGAATTANATCTTTATAAACTATTTTTAGATTACGTTATAGAAAAACAAAAAAGAGAGGTAAAGTACTGTATTATGAGTCTGAATTCATGGATATATTAAATGAAGTGAATATTTACCGAAGTTCCTACTTAAAAGTAATTTCTTTTTTTAAAATCATATTATTTTTAAAATTCAAATTTTAGCTCTATTTTTTTTTCTTGAAAAAATATAGAATTTTTTTTTTTACTGTTTTAGTTTAGGTTACTTATTTTTTTAAAATGTTACGAATGCATTATCGGTATTTGATTATGGCATAAAATTCCACTCTAACTAAAAATTTGCACGACAGAAGTTATAAGCGGTGGGGTGCAGAGAAGGGGGTGAAAAGTGCTACGACCCCAGGTATCGACTAAGATTCCCAGGTAACCCAGGGCTACGACCCAGGTATGGACTAAGTCGACGACTAAGGAACAGTGAAACTTTAAACCTATTGATGTTTATTTTCATCATGAAATTAACTTTTTTAACAGTAAATATTTGGCTCAAGCAAAATATTTAATGAAGAATAGAATGTAATATTCTAATAATTTTAACCATGAAATTTTAGACCATTAAAATTTAAATATTTCTTGCATTTAAAGAAGAAATGTTAGATTGTTTAGTTGTAAATAATAGATGTTTTTACTATAGAATAATTTTAATTCACGTTGCATAAAAAAATTAATTTGGTTTTTTCTCCTTTGTGCGTACATACCTTTTCAGGAAAATTTAATTGTGGAATTGATCATCTACACGCGATAAGAGGAACCGATACACAATTTATGCATAGTGGTTTTCTTTAAAGTATTTTTGACTACCAATTAGCTTTTCTTACATATTCAGCATTTAATTTTTTTTGTTCATACCTTTTGAACCTACTCCAAAGTATAAATAGCCTTTTTATTTAAAAATGTGAAGATTAAAAAACCCAGAAGCGATTTGAAATACACCTTATTTATAAAATGATTTTTTAAAGTTTCATTGGCTCTTTATATAGTATTTAAATACTATTTACCACAGAATTTATTGAATGGCAGCTAGCGATAAGTACAATAGCTTATATTTTTTTTCTTCAAAATCATATTTCTGATAGAATTTGTTGAATGACAGCGAGCAATAATAATCAGTCTAACGACTTTTCTTTTGTATGCTCATTTCAGACGATGAAAAACAAACGGAAATTGTGTTTATTGAAATAATTGCCACTTCCTCAAAACTAGAGCGTTTATAAAACTAAGAAAAAAAACTGAAATTAACTGAAATGCGGACGCTAAAATTTCCACATAACTTTCCTGATTAATGGTTTTGTAAGATCCACGCTTACTGTCATATGAACTGCAGTCCAACAAGTTGCTAAGGAGCATTGAAAGAAAATAGTGAGAAACTTCAGATAAACTTCTTTATCAAAAACTGACGACACACTAATTATTTACACTTATGCTCTTCAAAGAGAAAGAAATT